GGCACGTTGTCGGGCTGTCAGGGCGCAACAGTTACGTTGAGTCGCGGAAGTCCAAGGAATGGTGTTCAATCACTGTTCAGAATCGACAAGACGCAACAGTAACGGCGGTTCACGGCGTTGACGTCACAGGAACGGTGTCCTGGCACAGTTCCATCTGTTCAAACGGTTGTCTTCCAACGGAGCACTCTCCCCCGTGAAAATGAATCCTTGTACGGAGCCTATGAAGAGGGAACTTGGAGGGAGGGGCGACTGCAATGTTGTTAATGAGTCTTGAGATTGCGCTGGACCACCTCCTCCTCTTCCTCCTCCTCCTCCTCTTGCCTCTTGCCTGACTAGGAGGTGCGGTCCAATGAGAAGCCCCACTGCTAAAATCTCGGGAGGTGGCCCATCCACACAACCTTCTCCTCCCCCTACTCCTCTTCCCGGCCGGCCCCCAGGGAGCCCACAAAGGACGCACGCGCCCAACCACGTACATGAGCCTGGCCCCCCCAAGCCGCGAGACCAGCCTTGCGACACGAGCGCTCGCGCCATGCGCACTCTCGAAACCAACGTGGGATCATGCACGTGCACGTCCTTCTTGCGCTCCTGAGCTCCGCCTGCCCGCGACGGGTCGGGCAAGGGCGCCAGCCCCGCGCATATGATGAAGGTGGCGACCGCCCAGACGGGACCCGGCGCCTCCCGCAGGCAGCGCTCCTCCCGGCGCGTGGGGGGGAGGCAGGAGGGAGGAGGAGGGAGTCCTCCTCCTCCTCCTCCTCCTCCTCCTCCTCCTCCTCCTCCTCCTCCTCCCTGTGCGTATGGGGGGGGGGGCGCCTCGCACGCTCCCCGGCGCTCGCACCCCACCCTGCTCCCTCGCCTCCTGAGCTCGGCTGCCCCGGTGCGCACGTGGCGTGCGGATGCGGACCCCCAGCACGGAGGGGCGGAGTGCACCACGCGTGTCGCGCGTTCGCGAAAGCGTGGGCCAACACGAGGACTCCTCCTCGTCCTCCTCCTCCTCCTCCTCCTCTTCCTTCTCCTCCTCCTCCTCCTCTTCCTCCTCCTCCTCTTCCTCCTCCTCCTCCTCCTCCTCCTCCTCCTCCTCCTCGTCCTGGTCCTCCTCGTGCGCAGACGGACGCTGTGCACACGGCACGCGCTGCGCTTCCAGACGGGCGCATCGGGGCAGCTGGGCCCCGACACGGCCAGGGTGGCCTCAGAGACGGCTGAGGTGGGCCCAAGATGCCTCCCAGGCGGTCCAAGATGCACCCAAGACGGCCTACGATAGCCTCAGGAAATCCCAAGACGCCCCAAGAGGCCCCCAAGACGGCCCCAGAGGCCTCCAAGAGGTCCAGGGGCCTCCAAGAGGTCCTCCAGGAAGGCTCGAAGCGGTCGAAATCATAGGTATTTCTGTTTTTGCAGATTTTGCCATTTGCGCCTCTTCGGCCCTCAGACGGCCCAAGAGGCCCCCCAGGTCGCCCCAAGATCGCCCAAGAGTGAAGGGGCCCTGGGACACACAAATAAATACACACAGGTAAAACAATTCCCCATATTTTCCAAATTTCTGGGTTTCTGTCTTTCCCCCCACTGCCCATACTTTCTCATATTTTCTGGGGAATCGCCGATTAATTGTGTCTGTGTGTTTCTTTCCCTCCTGAAACACGAGGAGCCAGGGCGCAGCGTGCGCAGACGGACGCTGTGCACACGGCACGCACTGCGCTTCCAGACGGGCGCAGGCAGCTGGGCCCCAACACGGCCAGGGTGGCCTCTCAAAGACGGCTGAGATGGGCCCAGGATGCCTCCCAGGCGGCCCAAGATGCACGCAAGACGGCCTACGATAGCCTCGGGAAATCCCAAGACGCCCCAAGAGGCCCCCAAGAGGCCTCCAAGACGGCCCCGGGGGCCTCCAAGAGGTCCTCCGGGAAGGCTCGAGGCGGTCGAAATCGTCGATCCTTTTTTTGTTGTTACGGATTTTGCCATTTGCGCCTCTTCGGCCCTCAGACGGCCCACAGTCGGGGCGTTGACCTAAGGAACCCTAAATAGGGAACGAGGCCCCTTTTTTCCATAAGTTAACCTTCGATTTCCCATCGAACACATCAGGAAAGCCTGAGGCAAGCTGTGAAACACTACAGGAACGCGGAGCCCCTCCCCAACGAAAAGGGTTCCTTCTTCAGGGCCCCGACTGCAAGAGGCCCCCCGAGGCCGCCCCGAGATCGCCCAAAGAGGCCTCCCGAGGGGCAGCGGTGCGGGCAGGATCCTCGGCCTCGGCTTCCTCCTCCTCCTCCTCCTCCATCTCCTTCACCTCTTCCACCTCCTCCTCCTCCTCCTCCTCCGCCTCCGCCTCCGCCTCCTCCTCCTCCTCCTCCTCCTCCCTCCTCCTTCCTCGATCCTCCTCCTCCATCTCCTCCATCTCCTTCACCTCCTCCTCCTCCTCCTCCTCCCTCCTCCTCCTCCTCGATCCTCCTCCTCCTCCCTCCTCCTTCCTCGATCCTCCTCCTCCTCCCTCCTCCCTCCTCCCTCCTCGATCCTCCTCCTCCTCCCCGATCCGAGCTGGCAAGGTCTGCGCCGGCGGCCAGGCACGCCCCCTCTGCGCCTCGTCGGCCTCTCGCCCGGGAGAGAGAGGGCGCCGCCGGGCCGAGGCCCGCAGCGGACAGACATCGGACAGACCTCGGGCCTCTCCGGGGCCTGCTCTCTCTGTCTCCGGGGCCACTGCGCGCGTGGTTTTCCCGGAGCTCCCTCCCTCCCTCCCTCCCTCCCTCCCTCCCTCCTCCTCCTCCTCCTCCTCCTCCTCCTCCTCCTGCTCCTCCTCCTCCTCCTGCTCCTGCTCCTGCTCCTGCTCCTGCTCCTGCTCCTCCTCCTCCTCCTCCTCCTCCTCCTCCTCCTCCTCCTCGTCCAAGGCGCAGATCGGCGGGATGCAAATGGGGGTCCAGATGGGGAGAGAGGCGCCACCGAGGCACAAATTCTACCTACGCCCCACGGAGAGGGTACAAGTTGTACCGGCGCCACGCAGGCAAGGTACAGATTGTACTTTTGACAACGTCCGCGACATGTGCGAGGATGGTAAAGTGGGGGGGAGACGGTACACTTTGTACTCGCAACCCGAAGAAAAAGGTACAAATTGCACCCCAACAAAACGGTACCGGATACTCATCCCCCAATGTTCTATCCCCCCGTCGCCATCCGGCCGAGCAGAGGATCTGGATGCACGTCATGCCCGCACTCGGGGAGCTGTCTGGCCTCTCCGCCTGCTCCTCCTCCTCGCTGCCACGCTCTCCTGCGGGTGTTGCCGTGCTCGTTCGCGCCGAGCCCGGCCCGAAACATGTCTCTGGGCGGGGGGCTCCCCTGCGCACGGTGGCGCAGCTGTCCGGTCTGGACCAGTCGGCGCGAACTTCCACCAAACACCCTTGCGCACAAGGTCCTCCCAAGGAGACAAACACAAACGCATCCCAGAGTCGGAAACATCGTTGCATGCGTAGACCATATCGGCGGCACATGTTGATGGGCACGTTTTCCACCACCACCATCATAAGTTGGAGGGGGGGTCCTCCTCCTCCTCCTCCTCCTCCTCCTCCTTCCCCCCTCCAACTTATGGTGGTGGTGGTGGTGGAAAACGGGCTCATCACATATCGCCCGTGGCGGCGAACCTTATCTGCCTTCACCCTTCATGCCATCACCATCCGAGGTGCAATCGCGTCCTCCTGCTCGTGGGCCGACATGGCGCGACGGCACATCTCTCTCTCTCTCATCACCTCCAAGTGGTCCTGCAGTAGTAGGGGCCAGTCCACAAGAAACCTTCCACAAGAAACCCAACCCTGAGACCCCAGGACGTCCATTGATTTGTTGGTGTGGGAACGTCACGCTTTCCATGGCAGAATCATCCAAACCCAAGAAACCCAGGGCACCCTGGAGGCATGCAGGGTGTTTCTTGGCATGAGCCTCCACTGTACTTCGTTATCTTCGTTCACAGCACCTGGCAGCACGAATCGCTCTTCAATCGCCGAAACAAGCGTGCTTCAGCAGCGTCTGGCCAGATCAAAGGCAGGTCGCACGTCTGCAGCTTGCGGCTGCACGGCGACGGCGACGAGGACGGGGAAGAGGACGAGCAGGGCAAGGGGGGAGGCGGGCGGAGGGGGAGAGCGATGGGGGAGCAGAAGCGGAAGGGGAATGGAAGGAGGGGTGGGTGAGGAGTGGGAGCACCTGCGAGGAGGGTGGCAAAGGGAGGAAGGGAGTGTGAGGCGCAGGGGAGCCAGGCAGGATGGGTGGAGACGAGGCGGACTCCTCGAGAATGGCGTAGACGACAACGACGATCTGCATGGCGCCCGTGGCCGTGTGGAACGCCCCGTCCTGGAGGACAGCAGCGAGGGGCCAGCTCGAGGCGCGGCCGCTGTGCACGGCGGCCCTCCCTCTTCATATTTACCCTTCCTCTTCCCCGTTCGCCTCCCCGCCCCGCCCCGCCCCTCCCCCTCTCCACCATGCGACACCCTCCCAGCACCCTACGAAGCCCTCCCGATGCCCAAGGACCACACGCGAAAGCATACCCCAAATCCGCTGAAACCATCCGAGGCCCTCACAGACCCTCTGGTGGAAGAGGAGGCAGATGCGGAGGGGGGGGGGGGCACACGCCATCCGACCAAGGAGTGATGAGGAGGACGAGGAGGATGAGAGGGAGAATGAGAGTGTGGTGAGGGTTGTGTCTTCACTCCGGAGTCCTCCCGACCCCCCCAACTCCTTCAAAACTCCCTCTGATTCTCTCCGAAACTCCCTGACGAGACCCGAAGCCCTCCCGACCCCCTCCAGAAATGTGGCGCCTTGGTGACGTCAAGAGCTCTCAACACATCCCGTTCGCCGCATGGGTTGTGCTAAACACAAGAAATACGTGCAATGCATGAAAAGTGACTCGGGTACGTGCTATCCAGCAAAGCGGATAGCGCGTACCCAAACAACGATGAAGCCCGCTATACATAAAAACATACTGGCAGTGGACATCGCTGTGGGGTCATGCTTGCTTAGGCCCTCCAGTCTTGAGCCTT